ACCCTGGTGGCCGATCATGGCAACAAAAAACATCACAGCTAAAAATACGAGTTTCACATCCTCTCGGTAATTCTCTTGACCAAAATATAAACACGCCACACAGCTGCTCTGATCAGAGGTAGAGTTGAGTTAGTATAATGTTATACTCTACTAATGAGATGCATTCCCAAGTGTGACCTTTTCATATCTTTTGTGTGGCTTTTTACCCTGTTTTCCCCCCAAAACAATACAATTAATGAAAATTGCAAACTATATTCTTTAAATAATGTTTCTGAGTGCACCTTATACAATATATATGAATAATAATATGGTCACTCAAGAGGAAATGGGACGCCATTGTTTTCATTTGTGCTTACAGCCGGGAGTCCAGGACGATGGTTCTACACGAGAAAATTAAGAAAATCAGACCCTGGTTGTAGCTGCAATAAAATTAATGTAAAAAAAATGAATATACAGTATAGTCTGCATTTACGCGGTCAATTGAACCCGTGGAATACCGCGTAAAACGAGAAACGCATAAATGAAATAACAGAACATATGGGATTAATTGAAATAGAGACTGGGCTGACCCCCAAACTCCACTTTTTCCGACACAATACGTACGTTGTAGTAAAAATAACATCTTAATTTTATTATGGTATGCACACACAATTAATAATTAAGAGAAATATCAATCATATTAGGTTTTTTAACACTTACGTTAGTAGAAAAGCTGGGTCGGCACACGTGGATGGCGGCTGGTTCCGAGGCAGAGAGCAGATTAGTTGCCCTCCTGTGAATCACTTTCACTACTCGCAGAGGTTTGCAGGGCCTCCCAGACAAACCTCTCAAAGTCCATATCCTCACTGTCAATATCACTATTACTGACTTGGGCTGGCTGTGGTTGTGGTGGGTTGCGGGCGAGGAAGTTCTCAATACAGTACTACGTTGACGACTAGCATTGATGTTGTCGAGATAGATCTTGATACTCGGCTCCATAACTTTTGTCAGATGGTTATTAGACACTTCATACCGATGCTTGTTTGGGTCGTTGTCAAGGATGAGCTTAAGTTTCTCCCCCAACTCAATGATTTCCTTCACATTATCATGGCTTTGTCCAGGTAATTCAAGGTTTTTCTCGGGTGGTGGGGGTCCCGCGAAAGCCATTGTGAGTTGTGAGGGGAATAGCGGGCACAAGAGAGAACTGTATACGCGGACTGAGAACAATGAGACAGGCCCGGCTAGGTCAGCGACTTCTACCCTCTGGTGGCAGGGCACGTCATGTTACATTAGACCAATCACAGCTAGCGGCGGAGGGAGTGCGTGGGTGGTAAGGATGCGTGGCCCAATCACAGTCCGATACGTCATATGACATCAGCGATAACGTAAGAGCGACCTAATGTGCACCACTCACCACGCTGCTTCCCGCATATGGTCAAGAATGGACCTCGTGGGTAAAAAATGGCACGGCGGTCTGGACCTCTCCAGCTGCTCGCCTCGTAAATGACTAAATTTACCGCGTAATTAAAGCATTTTCATTCTGGCAAGGCACCGTGTAAATGACCAAACGCGTAAACAAAAGCCGCGTAAATGCAGACTATACTGTATATGTTTTAAGTAACGTTATTTAATGTTAATAAATGGAACAACAGAAGTAGCTAACCACTAATGGCAAAGAAAAAAAGAAGAGATGGATTGGGAATGCCAGCATATACGTGCGCATTTAAGGATACCGCATCATTTATCTTTTTAAGAATATATACAGTGATCCCTCGGTTAACGAGTGCCTCGGTTAATGAAATTTCGGTTAACGAATTGCCTTCCATAAGATTCTTAACATCAGTTAACGAGCATTCCCTCGATTAACGAATTCCTTACGAGCGCCCCTCAACATGTTTTTGCTTGCACACTAGCAGTCATATTAGTCCGCCAATACAGTAATTAGTTCTAGGGCTTAAATTCCTCACTATTTTAGTAAATATCAAGAAGTTTGTACTATTCAATAATTTTAAAAGTCTTATATTAAAATTTTTAGTCATTTTAACATTTATTTAACATAATTTTAGTACTGTACAGGGAAACTAGTTTTTAGCACGCCAAACAGCCTGTCAACACACCATACAGGCGTTAGTCTCTGTGTCTTTTCACTGGAGGTAACATCTTGCTTCAGACTCTCTTCAACATAAATGCTTTTTTTCTGTTTCCAGTCAAATTATTGGTCATTTTAAAATTTATTTTACATAATGACAATATATAATGCAGTGCAGTGTTGATTTAAAGAAAATAATCTTGAATTACACCAAGTGAACTAAAATTTTATGGGTGAAATGGTGCCATGGGGTGACTTCTCTTCCACCCCAATGCCTTCTCTTCTCCCTTTTCCTCCACCCCCATTCTCATTCCTATCATCATCATCATCCAGGAGCCTTCTACATACACACCTCAAAGTAAGTGTACTTTACTACCTCTTTTGTTGACTTTAGGCAATTTTCGGTGAGCTGGAACCAATTACCCAAAAACCCATTGAAACAATGGTTTCGGTTAACGAATTTTTCGGTTAACGAGCAACCTTCTAGAACGAATTGTGCTCGTTAACCGAGGGACCACTGTACAAAAGATTCATTATTGTTTATAATTGAATATGTATTTGATTGAATTAATCTTTATAGTATACATGTGAAATGAACAATGCAATTCATTAATAATATGTAGAATATTATAACACACACGACAAGACGGCATTGTTTTCGTGAGTGGCGATTGTTCTACATAAGAAACTGAAGAAAATAAGACCCTGGTTGTTAGCTGTAGTGAACTTAATTTTAAAGAATTGAATACCTGTATGTATGTTATAAGTAATGTTATTTAATGTTAATAAATGGAACACTAGAAGTAGCTAACCACTAATGGTAAAGAAATAAAGCGAGACGATTGGGAACGCCAACGTATGAACAGTAAGTGCGTACGTGTGAAAACATATCGTCATTTCTCTACATATGAATATGAAAGCAACACTTATTTACTGTTCATATATGTTTTAAATAATATTTTTGGATGTAAAACAAAAATTCTACTCACCAATGGTGGTACAGTCTAAAACATAAGGACCGCCAATGAATATTGTGCGAGTTTTTACTCAGATGGCGAAGTCATCAGGTTCAACTCTGGCTGAAGCTGTAGCTTTCCATAAAGCTGTTGCTGAAACTGTCACTGAACCTGAAGTTGATGTTGAAGCTGCTTATGATGCTGAATTTGATGGTGTAGCTGAAGTTGATGGTTTTGGCCTTCGAATAATAAAGCTGTTGCAAGAACCTTGCACAGCTGCTTTCTTTTCTCATTATACATCTTTATGTAGAGGTCATTTGCATTTATTTAGATTTTAATGCTTTGTTCTGTTAATGGATCCACTTCAGAAAATATGTTCATTACTTGCTACATATAATATCCACAGACCTCTCACCTTTTTCATATCGTTTTAACACATCTAGTTTCTCGGCTAAGCTTATACATCTTCTATTAGCTTTTGAAACAACACTATCATCACTTGCTCTCTTGCTCATGTTGAATGGGGATGCAAAAATGCTGTAAGAATCTTGAGAAAGTTTTTCTTCCTGTTCCATATGTGTGAAAACAAAGGTCCCGCCAAGCTCCGACTGTTGCTTACCACTCATTAGCCAAGCAGCTTCTTTCTGCAAGGCGCTCTTCATTTTTTTACAGTAATTTTATTTTTTTATAATACATATCGGGATTTAGTTATTATTTATATGAAAATGTAATTTTATTTAATTTTTATTATATTTTGGTCGTAAATATGAATGAATTAAGGACGTAAATTGAATTGGGTCCTAAATTAACTAGGGTCTTAAATATGAAAAGTTGTTGGTCGAACCGTTGTTATTGGAGGCTTTACTGTATATTGTATTTACATGCACAAAATCATATGTTTTCCCCTACAAAACCACTTTGAAATCACTTTCAATAATTGCATAACGAAACATACTAAAAAAAAAATTCCACAAAATATCCTTGTAAAATAAGGGTGCGTCTTATGCGATGGTGCGTCCTATATGCTGGTAAATGCGGTAATTTTTCCCCTATGTTATGTGTTTCAATATGTTAATTTTTTTATTATCCTGGTAGTTTTCTGGAACCTAACTGCCACGATTATCGAGGGTACTGATTTCAGAATACAGTATCTCCTAACATCAAGTGCACAGGGCTTCAAAATGCCCATGATATTGGTCGGGGGGGAGGGGGGGGTGGGGTGGGGGGCTTACAGTGCCCCCCAAAACCCCCCAGCTTGGTGGGCTGTCTGTGCTCACCATGTTCCACCACCCACAACTTCTTGGACTCCCACATTTTGATATTTCTTGAGCCGCCCCTGTTAGGGAGCCAGGCAAGAGATTTTTCATGACGTGCCTGACACAAGCTAATGTGTTGAGGTAAATACCAGGACAGGAATTTGTCAGGCGCTTCATGACCCCACCTCGCTGCACATGCTTAACCAGGCAGGTCATCAGTGTACCAGTTACTGGCAATTTAAATCTACATTAAACCGCCAACCTACCTCCCATCAGTCGGTCAATGTGTCATTATTTCAAAGGAACCACCAAGCTGATAGGCTGTAGAAATGAGGTGACAGGAGCTATGACCTCATATGACAAGTGTTACTGCCACTGACACCAGATTATATAGGGGGGGGGGGGTGATAGTGTAGAAATTCACAGTTGCCGACTCCACCTCCCTACACACCCTGCAGGCATGAGGTGAGGTGACAGGAGTTATTACATTACATAAGGGTGATCTGTGAGTTGATACCTGTAATAAATTTGAATGTTTTAAGAGGTTTATTTAATTTTTCCAATAAAAAACTCTGGGCAAGTAAATTTTCTCCAAAAAATTCTTTGGGCAAGTGAAAATACTACAGGCAAGTATACAGTGAATTTCAAATCTAATACATAATCTGCACAACCTGTGTGAAGGTATATTTCAACATGCAGTAACTGTAACTCATTTTTCAGGAGTTTTGCCTACCTGACAGTGAAGGATCGGCTACCTATCATCCTTACTCGTGTGATTGATTATCTGTACAGAGAGAAGGTCTTAATTGGTGACAAATATGGAGAGGTAAGAATCTTGGTTTAGAGTGAAATATGTGTTAAGGTTTTGAAATATGCTGTACCTTATATCTGCAGTATTGAATATATCAGTAAACCCTTGAGAACTTGGCATTCGATTTCATATAATTTGGCACGTATATTGTCTCGGAATTTATTATAAAATAACTCGGAAATGCTGAGTTATATGAAATTATGTGGGAAAATCTCAGCCTGTTTGGCCGCGCAGGTAACACTCACCGCACTACACTCCACATTTGGTCAGTCTGGTGTTTGTTATTGTTGTGGTGCACTTCGCTCTGGCTCACTCCCCCCCAGTACATGGAGGATGCTGTAGCACCCCAATATTTTGGGTATAGCAAAACCTTGATAACTCAGAATGCATGAGGTTCTGGCCTTGCCGAACTATCCCAAATTCCGACTTAACAAGGCACTCCCCCCTTACAAAAATACAACAATAAAAACCTATCAGCCCATATACGTATAGTGTACATGTATTTACTAATTTTCCGAAAGTAACAATTACCAGCACAGCAGGTGAAGAATGAAGCATTCAGGGATGTGATTTCTCCATTTTTTTTCGGTTTTCTGTTTTTTACCATCTTTTTAAGCCTCCATGTGAATCGCGTAGATCCGCTGATAATTTTTTTGGGAGGGGTGGTAGGAGCATGACGAGAGATATGTATGACAGTAAATAACAATAATTGACCCTCTAGGGTCGATGGGTCTGCCATGCGAGGAAGATGAGCCAGTATGCTGAGTATAGTGGCTGCACTCTACATGTTCATGCATTACATCATATTATACTCTATTTCTCATTGGCTGAGTATTGCTTGTTTTGCATTCCATTCTTCAATTCTTAAGTATTTCATTGACCAAAGATCAATGACGTTATACAATGCCACTACTAGAAGCAATATAATATGCCCTTCCATCCTATCCACTTGATCCACCCTCCCCGTCAGGGGCTAAACATTTTTCAATGTAACTAAGTTTCTATAATCATTTTACACTTTCTGATGATCAAAATTTATTCTATAACCCATGCTATATCTCACAGTTGTATAAGCAACTCAGTAGGGCCGTGGTCTGTGTCTCCCCAGGAGGCCGGGGGCTCATGCAGGGGTTTGTACTGGCCAGGAGACTCTAGGCTGTCAGGGGCATGTGTGTTCCCCAGGAGGTCAGGGGCCAGGGGTGCGTGTGCTTGTCCCACAGGAGGCCTAGGGGCTGTAGGCAAGTGTGTCCCCCAGGAGGTCAGGGCTGTTGGGTATGTGTTTGTCCCACAGGAGATCAGGGGCTGTAGGGGCAGCAAACCCCCAGAGGTCAGGGGTCAGGGCAGTGTGTTTGTCCCACAGGAGGTCAGGGGCTGCAGGGCAAGTGTGTTCCCAGGAGGCCAGGCTGCAGGGGCATGTGTTCCCAGAGGTCAGCTGGCAGCAAACAGTTCCACAGGAGGTCAGGCTGTAGGGGCAAGTGTGCCTCCAGGAGGCCATTGGGCAGTGTGTGTTTGTCCCACAAGAGATCAGGCTGTAGGGCAAGTGTGCTCTAGGAGACAGGGCTGTTGGGCATGTGTTTGTCCCACAGGAGATCCAGGGCCAGGGCATGTGGTGTCCCCAGGAGGCCAGGGGGCTGCTGGGTATGTGTTTGCCCCACAGAGAGACCAGGGCGTAGGGGCATGTGTGGTCTCCCCAGGAGGTCAGGGCTGTTGGGCATGTGTTTAGTCCCACAGGAGGTCAGGGGCTGTAGGCATGTGTGTCCCCAGGAGGTCAGGGCTGTTGGGTATGTGTTTGTCCCATGGAGGTCAGGGCTGTAGGGCAAGTGTGTCTTGATCTGGGGCTGTTGGGTGTGTTTGTCCCACAGGAGACTGTGGCCAGTAGGGCAAGTGTGTCTCAGGAGGCCGGGCCAGCTGGGCAAGGTGTTTGTCCCACAGGAGGTCAGGGCTGGGGCATGTGTCTCTGTGAGGTCAGGCTGTTGGGCAGTGTTTGAACCCAGGAGGTCAGGGCTGTAGAGTGTGTGTGCCCCCAGAGGTTGGGGGGTGTAGGGGCGTGTCTCCCAGGAGGTCAGGCTGGCATGCGTGTTTGTCCCACAGAGAGATCAGGGGCTAGGCATGTGTGTCTCCCAGACAATGTCAGGGGTTGTTGGGCATGTTTGTCTCCACAGGAGGTCAGGCCAGGAAGGGTGTGTCTCCCAGGAGGTCAGGGCTGTTTATGTGTTTGTCCCACAGGAGATCAGGGGTAGGGCATGTGTGTCTCAGGAAGCCAGTGCTTGTCCCACAGGAGATCGGGGCCAGGGGCAAGTGTGTTCCCAGAGGTCAGGGCTGTTGGGCATGTGTGTTTGTACAGGAGACTTCAGGGCCAGAAAGGGCGGTGTCCCCAGAGGTCAGGCCAGCAGGCGTGTTTGTCCTGCACAGGAGGTCAGGGGCTGAAAGGGCGTGTCTCCCAGAGGTCAGGGCTGCTGGGTATGTGTTTGTCCCACAGGAGGTCAGGGGCTGTAGGGGCAAGTGTGTTCCCCTGTCAGGGCGTTGGGTATGTGTTTGTCCCACAGCCCAGGGGCTGTAGAGTGTGTGTGGCCCCCCAGGAGGCTGGGGGCTAGGGCAAGTGTGTCTCCATGTGGAGGTCAGGGCTGTTGAGGTCAGGTGTTTGTCCCCACAGGAGGCTGGGGGCTGTAGGGGCATGTGTGCCTCAGGAGGTCAGGGGCTGTTGGGTATGTGTTTGTCCCACAGGAGGTCAGGGCTGTCAGGGGTTGCCAGCATGTGTTTGTCTCCACAGGAGGTCAGGGATGTAGGGGCAAGTGTGTTTCCAGGAGGTCATTGTAGGGGCTGTTGGGTGGCGTGCTGCTTCATCCCACAGGAGGTCAGGGGCTGTAGGGTGTGTGTTCCCCAGGAGGTCAGGGTGTAGGGCAAGTGTGTTCCCCAGGAGGTCAGGGCTGCTGGGTATGTGTTTGTTGGCTGTAGGGGTGTGTTCCCAGGAGGTCAGGGTGTTGGGTATGTGTTTGTCCCACAGGAGGTCAGGGGCTAGGGCAAGTGTGTGTCCCCAGGAGGTCAGGGGGGTGTAGGGCATGTGAGTGTCCTGAAGGAGGTCAGGGCTTTACGCATGTATGTGTGTCCTACAGGAGGTCAGGGGCTGTGGGTATGTGTGTGTGTCTCCCAGGAGGTCAGGGCTGTAGGGCATGGAATGTCCTGAAGGAGGCAGGGGCTGTAGGCATGTATGTGTGTCCCAGGAGGTCAGGCTATAGGGGCATGTGTGTGTGTCCCCAGGAGGTCAGTGCTGTAGGGCATGTGAGTGTCCTGAAGGAGGTCAGGCTGTGGGCATGTGTGTGTGTCTCCCAGGAGGTCAGGGCATGTGTGTGTGGTGTCCTCAGGAGGTCAGTGCTGGGAAGTGGGAGGTCAGGCTGAAGGGCATGTGTGTGTGCCCCAGGAGGTCAGGGCTGTAGAGCATGTGTGTGACCCCAGGAGGTCAGGGCTGTAGGGCATGTGTGTGGCCCCCAGGAGGTCAGGGCTGTAGGGCATGTGTGTGTTCCAGGAGGTCAGGGCTGTAGGGCATGTGGAGTGTCCTGAGGGAGGTCAGGGCTGTAGGGCATGTGTGTGTGGCCCCCAGGAGGTCAGGGCTGTAGGCATGTGTGTGCCCCCAGGAGGTCAGGGCTGTAGGGCATGTGAGTGTCCTGAAGGAGGTCAGGGGCTGAAGGGCAGGTGTGTGTGTCCCAGGAGGTCAGGGGCTGTAGGGCATGTGTGCCCAGGAGGTCAGGGCGGGAGGTCAGGGCTGAAGGGCAGGGTGTGTGTCCCCAGGAGGTGAGGGCTGTAGGGCATGTGTGAGTCCTGACGGAGGTCAGGCTGAAGGGCAGGTGTGTATGTCTCCCAGGAGGTCAGGGCATGTGTGTATCCTGACGGAGGTCAGGGCTGTAGGGCATGCATGTGTCCCCCAAAAGGTCAGGCTGTAGGGCATGTGTGTGTGTCCCCAGGAGGTCAGGGCTGTAGGGTATGCATGTGTCCCCCAAAAGGTCAGGGCTGTAGGGCATGTGTGTGTGTCCCAGGAGGTCAGGGCTGTAGGGCATGCATGTGCAGAGGTCAGGGCTGTAGGGCTCAGGTGGTCAGGACTGTAGGGTATGCATGTGTCCTGGGTCAGGGCTGTAGGGCATGTGTGTGTGTCTCCCAGGAGGTCAGGCCAGGCCATGTGTCCCCCAAAAGGTCAGGGCTGTAGGGCATGTGTGTGTGTTCCCCAGGAGGTCATGTAGGGTGGCATGTGTCCCCAGGAGGTCAGGGCAGGGCATGCTGAGGTGGTCACTGTGGTGTGTTCCCCAAAAGGTCAGGTTGTAGGGCATGTGTGTGTGTGTCCCAGAGGTCAGGGCTGTAGGGCATGTGTGTGTCCCCAGGAGGTCAGGGCTGTAGGCATGTGTGTGTCAGGAGGGGCTGTAGGGCATGTGTGTGTGTCTCCCCAGGAGGTCAGGGCTGTAGGGCATGTGTGTGTCCCCCAGGAGGTCAGGGCTGTAGGGCATGTGTGTGTGTGTCCCCAGGAGGTCAGGGCTGTAGGGCATGTGTGTGTCCCCAGGAGGTCAGGGCTGTAGGGGCATGTGTGTGTGTCCCCAGAGGTCAGGGCTGTAGGGCATGTGTGTGTGTCCCCCAGGGCTGTAGGGCATGTGTGTGTGTCCCCAGGAGGTCAGGGCTGTAGGGCATGTGTGTGTGTGTCCCCAGAGGTCAGGCATGTGTGTGTAGGAGGTCAGGGCATGTGTGTGGTCAGGGCTGTAGGGCATGTGTGTGTCCCCAGGAGGTCAGGGCATAGGCTGTGTCCCCAGGGTGTGCATGTGTCCCCCAGGGCTGTAGGGCATGTGTGTGTCCCCAGGAGGTGTGTGTCCCCAGGAGGTCAGGGGCTGTAGGGTATGTGTGCCCCAGGAGGTCAGGACTGTTTGCATGTGTCCCCCTAGGGCATGTGTGTGTCCCCAGGAGGTTAGGGCTGTAGGGCATGTGTGTGTGTCCCCAGGAGGTGTGGGGCTGTAGGGCAGGTCAGGGCTGTGGGGCAT